TTTTTTTTTTTTGAAGGGACGCGCGCTGGTAGCTTGAGGAGCTTTTCCAGCTTCACCGGGCAGAGTGGCGAGTACAGAAGGTACTCTAACCGTTTGGCGATCGTCGGTCGCAGACCGACGTTCGTGATCGGGCCGTATCGAGCGCAGAAGGCGCCCGATCAGTGGCGAACCCAACTAGAGGGTTGCCCACCGCGGTGTTGGACCAAAGTCCAGCCTACTACGGCGGGCTCACTCTAGTGGGCCCGATCGAGGGGAAACGCATAAATGGCGTTACGAACCACTACACCAAAGGATCTACAAACAAATGTCTCACTTGTAATTAGTGAATATCCTTGGAAGGGATTATACTATGGCTCATTTGTAACGAATTTTGTTAAAGTAAAATTAAAAATGCAAAAAAAGTACAACAAAATTATTTACAATATTTCCAAAGCTGTAAAACTTTTGTATGAAGAAAAAAATCGCGTTTGTCATTGTCAGTTTCCAACTGTCATTCAAAGTGTCAATGTCATTATTGTCATTTTCACGTGGTGCTTCTTTGCTAAAATGTGGATTTCTCGTCATAATTTTTAAAGTTTTTATTAGTTTTCTATAAATATAACATATTCTCATAAGTGTTATAAACAAAATTTAACGAGTATTCAAGATGAAGTTCAACTATAAGGTTCCCAGTTTTTTAAATCTTTTGTTTCTACATTCTATAAGTTTGTTTATTTATGTCGTGGTATTATTAGTGCAATTATTGTTAAATAATTCGGAAATTTAGCCATAAAATTGGATTTCGTATATATCAAAAGGCTAAATAATAAACAAGTAATAATAATTTCATGTAGTAACAGAGTAGTGTTTTCTTACTAACATAACCTATTTATTTGTTTTAGTTCCACAATTTGCTGGGAACAGTGTACAGAAAAGGTGACATATTATTTACAAATGATGGAAACTGTGTCATTAGCCCAGTTGGTAACAAAATAACTGTGTATAATTTGAAACAGTAAGTATTGTTTGTAATTTGCACAGGCTCTACAATTCCCAGCAGGCTTGCAGTGTTTTCGTAACAATTGAACTGATAAAATAAACCTAATTTATAAAAGTAACTAGCTTTCCGCCCGCGGCTTCGCCCGCGTGGAATTTTGTCTGTCACAGAAAAACTTTATCGCGCGCGTCCCTGTTTCAAAAACCGGGATAAAAACTATCCTATGTTCTTTCCCGGGACTCAAACTATCTCTATGCCAAATTTCAACAAAATCGGTTGCGAGGTTTAAGCGGGAAAGCGTAACAGACAGACAGACAGAGTTACTTTCGCATTTATAATATTAGTTGGGATGAATGTCAATTTGATTTGTTTCAGAAACAAAAGTAATACCTTATCGGTAGAAAGTAATTTCAACTACACAGCAGTGGATATCTCGCCCAATGGATCTGTTTTATTGGCTATCAATGAAAGTAAGCTATTTTAAATTTGTTTAAATTAATTTAGAAACACCATTATTTAGATTTCATTTTGAGAGATATAATATTGTGTCTAAAATTGTGTTTGTGGTGTTTACATAATCAATGTTTTATTTCTTCAGAGGGCGAAGCACAGATGATTAGTTTGATCACTTGCACCGTAATACATCGGTACAAATTCAAACAGCAAGTGAATGCTGTTAAATTCAGTCCTGATGGAAAGTACTTTGCAGCTTGCTGTGATTGCACAGGTAAGAGTTTTGAGGATTTTGTAAGTGTAAATACATAGGTACATAATTATACACTTAACACCAGGATGATGAAATTTTTTTGACAAGTAAAAGTTAAATAAGAAAAATGTGTAAAACTAACTAACATTAATTATTTTGTTAAATATAAAACCAAATTGAATACTTCCTCCTGTTTGATGAAAGTGTTCATAAGTGTAATGAAACTTATTGTTCATTTCAGTATTCATCATGACAGCTCCTAGCACTTTCACCGGCCAGTTCCGTTCGTTCGTCATGAAGCGGGTCTTCCAAAAGTCTCACGACGAGGTCACGTGTCTCGACTGGTCCACATGCTCCAAACTCCTAGCAGTTGGATCTAAAGACACCACGACAAAAATATACACTGTAGATTACTTAGACAATCTCAACATGTACTCACTGAGTGGTCACACCGATAAAATAGTAGGCACATTCTTTGAGAAGAAAAGTTTAGACCTTATTACTGTTAGCAGGAATGGTCAGATTTGCTTGTGGGAAGCGAGTTTAGATTCTGATGATTTGATAGTGTCAGAGGTACAGATATCGCAAAGGAAGAAAAGGCGGATGCAGAAACAAGAAGAAGATAGTGACGATGATGTTGATGAAAAGAATGCTATTGAAAAGGATCAAGAAAATGTAAGTATGTTTTTTTTGCTAGGGCTTCTTCATGAGCTATAATAATCTATATTATCGACTAAGTATGTAAAAGTCAGGTTATTAAAGTGTGATAAAACACAAAACGAAACACTGCAATATCAGACCGTAACATATTTTTATTTTGGTTTCTTTCATTATTACAGGAAAGTGAAGATGAGGCCAAAGTGAAAGTTGAAAACACAATAGCCGAAGAAAAGCGGCTTCACTACAAAAAATTAGGGCGCCACTACATCGGAGACGCTATCCGGAACGCACACCACAAAGTTAGGCTGACTGCCGCTCAGTATCATAAGAATACCAAAATGCTGGTCACAGGTATGTTTGCTTTACAAGTTGGCCCACTACTGAGCATAAGTTTCTCCCACGACATCTACCATGACATGGCTCAATCGAACCAATATTTTTTAAACCAGAGGAAATGTAATATTTAACGACGAAGTTTGTTGGTGACGAATGAGGAAATCCGTAAACGAACTAAAGTCGCTGACATAGCCCGACGGATTAGCAAGCTGAAGTGGCAATGGGTAGGGCACATAGTACGCAGAACTGACGGCCGATGGGGCAGCAAGGTTCTGGAATGGAGGCCGCGTACCGGAAAACGCAGCGTTGGACGTCCACCTACAAGGTGGACCGACGACATCGTAAAGGTAGCAGGGAAACGCTGGACGCAGACCGCTTCCAATCGATCAACGTGGAAAGCATTGGGGGAGGCCAATGTCCAGCAGTGGACGGCATTTGGTTGAGATTACAAATAATGGCTGTATCCTAGAACTTTATCGACCCTAAAATAAGCTTGAAATTATTGTTCGTACATTTCAGGTTTCTCAAACGGCACATTCTTCCTGCACGAGATGCCAGACGTAAACCTGGTACATACGCTCAGCATATCCGAACACCGTATCAGTAGTATCGCTATGTCTCCGCAAGGCGACTGGATCGCGTTCGGGTGCCCTAACATCGGACAGCTGCTGGTTTGGGAATGGCAGAGTAAGTTTTTCAAAGACTTTTTATTGGTACTAAACAAATGTTTATGTTCTATGATCAGCGGGATCTTCGCATGCGCATATTTGAAACTTTTTTTGTAAGTCTGAATTTTGCAATATTACCCTACAAGTAGTTATTTTATACTCACTAAGCCGTGTGGTGACGGCAGAGTAGAATACATTTGTCACCAACCCCTACACTTCCCGCGGGTGTCGTAAGAGGCGACTTAGGGACTACACATCAAACAGAAAACGGGCAGTAGCGCTCTCTGAATAACATCAATCTTTTAAACTGCGATCTCCAACTCGCCTGCCAAGCGTGGGGATTATGGCAAACCCTCCACTATAGTGGAGAAGGCTCATAGTCCAGCAGTGGACTGTAAAGGGCTGTTGATGATGATGACTCTTATACCAGTTATAGCAGGCCTGGCTCACTCCGCGCGGTACATCCGATAATTACCTACAGCGAAGCGCCCCGCCGGCGGGTATTATATCAGTCGAGTGTCACGCGCGCGCTCGTCAGGACGCTGGCGTGCGTTGTACGAGGGCTGCACTAAAAGTATCGGGAATGGAATATTTCCACTGTTCCAGTCATATTAAAATCTATTTAATTGCAAAGTCCAGGGTTTTAAAAATCGTATACCATTTATTTATTTAAAAAAAGATTCTCGGTCGTATCACAAGGTCTTGTCAAACTTGTTTAGTCGTTGAGAAAATGGAATTGACTCGAGAAAATTCAAGAGCGATGATTTATTATGACTTTTGAAGTGGTTTAACACAAAAACAGTGTGTTGACCGGATGATTTCTGCATTTGGTAATGAAGCCCCATCCAAAACCACAATTTATCGCTAGACATTTTGAAGTAGTATGACCATATTGAGGATATATCTGGGACTTTCTGTGGGACCTTACTTATCTAATTTTGCATAATGTTTTCTACGGCCGTTTACTGTAATCAATCCATATCCAAATCCGTCTGTCAACTGCCAAATTAAAATCTGTTTTCTATCAAATATCCACAGTTTTCGATGCCTTTACACTTTCTTAATGTTGTAATTCATCTTAAAACAAAAACATCGAAAACCTTTTTTCATAATCATATTAAGTGCACTTTATCAAGACACACTGTTTAAACGTAAATCAGTCTTTGTCGTCCTGAGAAAAATAAATAAAAGGTTACCCTACTTAGAAAGAGAGAGCCTGCCCACAGAGAGCGAGATAGTGATACATAGGTTGTGCTTCAAGTAGGTATTCTAAGTCTGGCCTCCATTTTTATCTTTAGCTTCATGATTTTTTCTATGGGGAAATGTCAAAATAACATTAGTTCCGACTTTTGCCACATGCCAAATAACCGTGATCGGACTAATAACCCTTGTGACATACATGAGTAATGTTTTGGCGCGATGTTATTATTAACTTTTTCGCAAAAGTAAAGGAAACGATACCCATTCAGCCTAAATTGCAAATTTGATAGAAAATACGTAGATTCTGGGACTAAAGTTCGTAGGTTTGCAAGGAAGGCTTAAAATATACGTAGATCTACGTAAAAATACGTAGAGTTGGCAACCCTGTTTGTCATTGTCGTGGTCATTGTCAGTTTCCAATCCAACTGTCATTCAAAGTGTCAATGTCATTATTGTCATTTTCACGTGGTGCTTCTTTGCTAAAATGTGGATTTCTCGTCATAATTTTTAAAGTTTTTATTAGTTTTCTATAAATATAACATATTCTCATAAGTGTTATAAACAAAATTTAACGAGTATTCAAGATGAAGTTCAACTATAAGGTTCCCAGTTTTTTAAATCTTTTGTTTCTACATTCTATAAGTTTGTTTATTTATGTCGTGGTATTATTAGTGCAATTATTGTTAAATAATTCGGAAATTTAGCCATAAAATTGGATTTCGTATATATCTGTTTTCTTACTAACATAACCTATTTATTTGTTTTAGTTCCACAATTTGCTGGGAACAGTGTACAGAAAAGGTGACATATTATTTACAAATGATGGAAACTGTGTCATTAGCCCAGTTGGTAACAAAATAACTGTGTATAATTTGAAACAGTAAGTATTGTTTGTAATTTGCACAGGCTCTACAATTCCCAGCAGGCTTGCAGTGTTTTCGTAACAATGAGGATCATTTCGATTTTTAGCTGTGAATGCAGATTTATAGGGCTAAGAAATCCTTAATACACAGTGCAAAAATTTTTGTTCTACGACAAAAATTGACGAAGTTATGGCCAAATTACTAAAAAAGTTCACTGAACGCCCGGCGCGGGGACGATGACGTCATTATATCCGATCCGAACGCTGCCGCGTACTGCGTGGATAGAAAATATTTTTTTCTAGCCAAATTATCAGTTTTAGAGAAAAACTTGTAATGACATTTATTCATCAGAATAAAGTAAGCTATCGATAGGTAATTTTTAAAAATGGAAATTGTGAAAAATAACACAAAAAATCCATACGCTCATACGATTCAATGGCACGCAGAGACGCGATTGGGGTCTCCGCGGTGGTATATTTGGCGATTTATTCAAATAAAGTGTACATAAGTGTTGTTAGAGTCATATCTTCTTCCAAGTAAAATATAAAAATGTATAAGTATTAATTTATTTACTTCTAACTATAAGGTATAACTTCTAACAATAAGACATTGCTATGAAAATCATCTCGATGTACACTTAATAATACCTACCTGTTATTTAGTTTTTCTGAGTTAGACCTACGCACCTACCTATCTATTCGCCGTTCCCATGGGCGGGCCAGCTGCTGCAGGAAAGGACAGCCGCTCCGTGCTGGAAATCTATTTAATCTTAGCCTAGAAGCTGGGTATGACTACCCCGCCCCTCTCCTCTCCCCAGGTCATAAGCTGGGCATGACTTCCCCCTCGGCCAGAAGTTGGGTATGATTTACCCAAGGTTTTCCATAATGAATGCATACTTACCTACATACGTACCTCACTACAAATAAGTAGATTAATATTTTTTCACTAGACAGCAACCCTAACAGCGTAAGAAGAGTTCAGAGGCACGCGATAGAAAGAGACAAAACTTGTAGGTGAATAAAATTGTAGGTACGTAGTGCTGTGCGAGCTGAATTCCACTGTATCGCGTCGTAGCAAGACTCGCATTTATTTAAATCGTCTTGCGGAGTAATCCTTCTGTACCTGTACTATTACTTATTCTGTGGTTATAGTTAGTTTAAATGGGATCCCCACATTATGTTGGTTTCGTTGGCGACAAGACGACGACGCTAGAAAGAAGACGCACGCTAGTGTGAGAGTGCGCGTGTAGTTGACTCCTAACCTAAAGCCTACAATACACGTTGGTCGAGCGTCGCCGAGTGAACGCCAATACCTAGGTGTAAAGCCCGGTCTCTGAGCACGTAGAATTTTATCCATTGACCCCAAGCTACCCATCCTTATCGCTTGCGCGTAATTATGTTGCTGTTGCGCTCGCACACTCACTGCGGCTGCCCGTCGCACAGTCGCGACAGCAATATAATTACGCGCGAGCGATAAGGATGGGTAGTTTGGGGTCATTGGACAAAATTCTACGTGCTCGGAGACCAGACTATAGTCAGTATATTTGCATTGTCTTCTCGTCGCTTGGTGTCGCTCGCCTAGTTGGTCGAGGTAAGTCAACCGCTAACGTGTATAGAACTCATTTGGCGTAGCTTGTTCATAAGGCCCAGAACAGACTGTGAAACGCAACTGCAACGAAACTGCAACTGCTAGTTACTTTTGAGTTGCATCTAAGTTTCTGCCATAGCGTCCGTTGAGAGACCACACATGACGCGACCAGTTTGAAACTTTCAGTTTCAGTTTCATTCATCAGAATCATCAGAAAGTTGCAGTTGCGTTTCACCGTCTGTTCTGGGCCTAAGGGTCAACCTCTCAAAATGTAGATGTATATTCTCCAACACCATGTTCTCTCTTCCAGGTGAACAGTACGTAATGAAACAGCAAGGCCACTCGCTAGACATGACCTGTCTAGCGTATTCTCCCGACGGCCTGTACATAGTCACGGGAGGGTTCGACGGGAAGGTCAAAGTCTGGAATACGACCTCTGGCTTCTGTTTCGTGACGTTCAACGAACACAAATCGACGGTCACTAGTGTGGTGTTCAGTGCCAATAAGAAGTTCTTTGTGTCTTCATCGTTGGATGGGACTGTTCGGTGTTATGATCTTACGAGGTAGGTTTAATAAATAAATGAAGTATTTATGTATAATATGTATTACAAAAATCGTGTGTAATATTTTTTTCTGGGAATATTTTTCGTTAGATATTGTACGGCTTTTCTATCGACACTCATGCTATGATTGGCATTACAAAATAGAAAAAGCAGCTAATTTTTAGTACTTAGTTGTAATATGAGACTGAGGGCCTACACTTTGTCGTCCGATAGTTTGGTTGGGCTGTTAATCAGAGGTGGAATTGTGTGAAGCAATCGTTATCATTTGACAGTTCATAACGTACGATAATTCTGTCAAACGCTTTGTTTTAACTGACTTCATCGTACGTTATGAACTGTCAAATGATTACGATTGCTTTACACCAGTGTTTTTCAACCGAGAGAGGCGAGGCGAGGTCGCGAGAGGTCGTAAAAACTACCTCCGTAAAAAAAAATCAATAGTTATAAAGAGTAAAGACAGATTTATCCGAAATCGAATTATGCAAATGCATTAAAATGTTGTATGGATTGAAGTATTCGGTCCCTACAAACATCTTTGTAACATTATAAAATGCATGAAAAAAAAAAGCGAACGGTCGGGGGGTCGCCAAATATTTTTTCATACTAGGAGGGTTGTGTCATGAAAAAGGTTGAAATACACTGCTTTACACAATTCCAGCTCAGTATGGAAGTGTGAAAATTACACCGATTTGGTATTGGCGGATTCCTCATACAAGTAAACATAACTTTTGCAGATACCGCAACTTCCGAACATTGACGTCACCGACGCTGGTCCAGTTCAGCTGTGTAGCTTTGGATAGTAGCAGTGAACTGTGCGCGGCGGGCGGCCAGGACGTCTTCGACATATACATCTGGTCCGTCAAGTTCGGACGGCTGCTGGACGTGAGTAGACGTGTTTAGACATGCAATTACCACTCGGCATGGGGCACACTGAAAACCAGCGTGGGCCACGGCATATGCTCAGTGGAGTCCCATTGCGACGGGCATCGCCTGTTGCAACAGGGTGGCACTGCTCAGTTCACTTTTTATTTCCTTGTTATAATTATGTGCTATTTCTGTCTTTTTTCCGTATACTTTATTTGTTCTCTGAGTGATGTTCATCTAAATAAATATTTCTTTCTTTCTATTACTGGTTGAAATTCATAATTTTTGCATTCCACCAGCGCGCTTTCGCGCCAGCGTTTCGATGACTCTTTTATAATGCGAACAGCTAGGGACGAATTCGCTGCCTGCTGCTCTTTCCTGAATACTATAATCCGGGGCTTTTCAAGGCAAGAGTGCATAGGCACTTACAGGGCAGATATGTACCATCTTAGATTGCATCTCACAAAATTGCGGTCAACAAGGGCTATTGCGGTCAAATACCTGACTTGTCATGCATAAAAAAACCTATAGAAATATTCGCACAGAAGCAGCAAACAACATAGTAAAAACTAGAATATAAGTAGAGTAGACAGAGCATAATAAAGAGAGGTCAGGAGGTGTTTATAGAAGAAATCGACAGCCCCAGTCAAGTGGTTTTTTAAACAAGAATAGGGATGATGACTGGGTTATGAAATCGAAATTCTATTTAGTCCGTCAGACAGACAATAAAAAAATATTAGACACATATTTTTAAATTTTTTTCATAGTCGAATAATTACAATATTATTTGAGTTGAAATGTCGCGTGAAGTCACTTTTGACTAAAATGTATACTCAATCGTGAAGTATCGCGCCATTTCAACTTGATGTAGCACTGTTATTATTTAATTACGAAAGAAAATAAAAAATATGAAATTAAATGAAAATGAAAAAGAAAATGTTTTATTTTATAAATAAAGTTGATTAACAAGATATTTTGGCAACCATCCTTTTAAGTATAAGAATACCTGTAGAAGGAGGATACCGCTCTTCCAAAACTAAAATGAGTCTAATATTATTTTCTAATTACCTATCTGTCTGACGGAAAAATAATCGAAATTTTGTCATCTAGCCTATTAGCCTTCAATCAAATCCTTATAAAGTTCTAAATGTTTCCAGGTACACGGAGGTCACGAAGCGCCGGTGTCTTGCCTGGCCTTCAGCCCTACTTTAGCCAGTTCGAAGCTAGCGTCGGCCAGTTGGGACAAAACCGTCCGTGTGTGGAACTGCATAGAGACCAGTTCTGATTGCGAGCCGATACAGCTGACGTCGGACGCATTGCAAGTGGTTTTCAAACCTGATGGGGAGGAGGTGTGTTTACATGATTATTTACACGACCGGATCTATGTTAGCGTTAAAAAATCGGTCAGCACATAGTTGATTTTCTTTAGAATATACATTTTATACAGGCTGTTAGGTAAATGGGTATATGAGCCGACACTAGCCCATGTTAACATGGTCATATAAATGGTATGGTGAAGTCAGAAAATTGATATCTCCATTTTAATTATTTTAATTTTCATACAAATCGGATTTTATAAAATTGATTTTGTATGAAAATTAAAAAATTAAAATGATGATATCAAATTTCTGACTTCACCATACCATTTATATGACCATGTTAACATGGGCTAGTGTCGGCTCATATACCCATTTACCTAACACCCTGTATACAATATGTATATTTTTCAATTTGTATGTTGATAGTTGATACAGGCCATGTTATACATATTATACATCAAAACACGTAGAATATGATATGTTCCTAATATACTACAGTGTCGCCACTCTAGTGAATGCAAATGCGGTAGTCCTAACGCTTCAGCGCCCACCAGATAGTGCCACTGTCATTACACTAACGAGTGATTTGAACAAAACAGTGGCAAAAGCAAATAGTGTGACGTCAGATTCTTTTGATATACAAAATCTCGACTTGACGGCCATTAAAGTGCCTGAATGCAGTTG